TACAATAATAGCATCCATAACTATATCAAAAATATATGCGCTTAAATCTATATCTGATGCAATCAAACTAAAATAAGAAAATACTTCGTCAATCCTCCTGCTGTTTGAACACAAGTAATAGCTTTAATGACGTGAATCTAAGTTATATTAACACTTTTCTTCTCTAAAACTCTCCAAAGGACTTCTATTAGAAACTTATGGTAAGCTTTTTCTAAATCAACAAAATCATACGCATATCTTTCTTATTCTCTCTGTACTACTCCTTCAAACCTCTTAATAAATGTATAACTTCCATAGTAGTCCTGCTTGGCATAAATCCAAACTGAATGTGAGAAATTTTTGTATCACGTCTTAACCTATTTTCAATTACCCTCTCCCATAATTTTAAAGTATGACACATAAGCTTAATTCCTCTATAATTTGCACACTCTTTGCGTCCCTTTTTTTCTTAAAGGTGGGGACCAAAATATTCTTCCTCCACTCAGACATATTTTTAGTTTTTAAAAAAAATATTAAAGAATTTAGTAAGCCAAGAAAGATCTAAATATTTCCACACTTTAATTGGGGTATGATTAGGTCCTGTTGATTTTTCACCTTCGATTTTCTTTAAAGCCTCTTCAACTTCTTTTTTACTAATGTGAAGGTAAAAATAAAACTTTTTATTATTATGAACGATATTAAGATCACTATGATCGATCATATTTTCAAAAAATTTATTGAAAATTTATCGAAATAGCTCACTCACCTATATTAAATATCTTTTTTTAAGAAAAATACTTTTTGATTTTCATATTTAATACATTTTACTTGAATTAAATTTACTTTTTTTTTCTCTTTATTTGGCTAGTTTATACATATATTTTGTACCCATATTAGTATCTAATATATTATAAAGATCATTAAAAATAAAATTTTAGCGTCATGAATTGTTCTCTTAGACTACCTACGAGACACCCTATATTTTTTCTGGTTTTCTAAGTTTTATATTTATACAAAATCTTATAATACTTTTTTATAATTTTTCTTGTACATTACTATTTCACAATCAATTATTTTTATTTATATGAATTTTTTTTTTAATTCTCCAAGTACATCTTTTGTCACTTGATTAATGATACTTGTTACTTTGTTGCACATAGAAATTCAATTCTTCATGAATATCCCAAATCTTGAAATTTATTTATAGAATAATTTTAGGTGCCCTATCACACTCTAAAGAAAAATCTAATATGATTATATCTTCTTCATTAATCACTCTAAAACGGTGGCCACCATGCATATTTCTAGTATTTTCTAAAACTCTACTAACATGTCCATTTAAATATCATCCAATAAAAAATTTTTCTTCAAGAGGCGGCATCTGTATTATTTCTTTCAGGTCCTTTTAGAATTTTTTTTTGAACCTATATTTATACCTACTTGAGGAGCATAAACACTTATAATCATTAAAAATCTTAATATCAACAACAATATTTAGGGCTGTAATTGTATTAGTTTTTACAAGATTATTTTTCAAACTCTTTTCTATAATTATATCTGCACCATTTTGTGCGATTTCTACCTGAATACTAATGTTTAAAATCTAAGCTATCAATCTCCCCATTTAGTCTCTTAAATACATAAGATATTTATCTTCCTATGAACCATAATATCAACAAATTCCATTAATTTACCTGTAAGGGTATCTATATTCCAAATTTCTATTCTAATATTAGTTTCATGGACTAATTTCTTTACTCGCATCCGTCTGTAATGTGATAACCCTTCCTTATTTGACACTACGCCTAGGCACTGGTGTAGCCGCCCTTGCATATTTTTCACTAAATCCAATCCATACAGTATGTTGCTTTCACGGAACACGATACATTTACATGAGGATTTAAAGGATTAATGTTATGATTTTTTTTGAAAACTTTTACGATGACCATCTACTACCTAACGCAACATTCCAATTTTCTCATTCGAGGCTTGGGGCCCGGCAATGACGGTGTTATAGGGATGATTGTATCATGAAGTAAATTTAGAACTTCTACATGTAATAATAAAATAAACATGGCTCCATTTATCATGTTGAATGTGTGGAACTATCAGACGTCCATCCTAATCTTTCTACTTCTTTATTCACAAGGCTGGTCTCTTCCATGTAGCCCCAATGTTTAATGCTGCCTTATGGAATTTGTATTTTCTTATGTAGAACTTATTTTTAAGTTCACACACTCTTTTGTTGCAAAGCTCTCAAAGCGAGGATTTCAACTTGCAGAATTATATTTAGGTGTTATTCTATCCTTGCTTTGCAGCCAAAATCCAATGTCTGTGTAGGGGTAAAAAGATGAACATTTGTTTTTTTATTTTTCTTGTCTCCTTTGTAATTTGGCTGGGTTTAATAAATTTTCCTTGAATATAGGTTTTAGAAATTATTTTTTTCTACTCATGAATATATTTTATTGTCACATATAACATCCAGTTCGTCGAAATCTTGTGCTTTTCTTTCATATTATTCTCTAATTTATTTCTATATTTTTATTTTCTTAATTGTTTAATTTGATTATCTTTCACAACCATCTTGAGATATTCACTTTCTTCTGATGTTCGAAACATAGAGTATGTGACTAATAAGAGGGGTGTTTCTAATTTCAAACTAGCGGTTACAAGTTTTTTATAATGGTAGAATTTCAAAACCGGGAGTAATATACAAAACTTATGACTAGAAGATCAAGAGAACAAGCAAAGTGGTTGTAGCATGCACAATAGAGCATTAATTATTGTTGTATGGCCGAAAATTTCTTATGTATGTTATGATCTTGCAGTGTGCTATCAGGTCTACTTTATGAATTATATTGATTCATAATGTTCAATTATTTGAAAAATCTGACTAATATTTTGAAAACTAGCACTTGCTGAGTGCTTTTCTTAATTATTTATGGCAAGTGTAGTTCTTGATTAAATTGATAATATATTTTTAAATTTATGGGGTAGTGTTTGTATAAGAAAATCTTTCGGGGTGTCTTTGAAAAATCGGACTAATTTTGAAAACTAGCACGTGCTGAGTGTCTTTTCTTAATTATTTATGGCAAGTGTAGTTCTTGATTAAATTGATAATATATTTTTAAATTTATGGGGTAGTTTTTGAAGAAGAAAATCTTTCGGGGTGTCTTGATCAAATTTTGATTAGGATGGGTGCTAAAGCCATCGTCTTTGCTTTAAGAATCATCCAATGTATAAGAAATAAATCAAAACTTGTATTGCACTGATGTATAAGTAAATTCAATGGTCAGGAGACCCAATTTGACAAAAAATATGGTCAGGATATTTGAACCTTGTTTTTTCGATTATGTAGATCAACATCTTTGAGCTGTATGTGAAGATAGTTTGTGTTTGATGTTCTTATCTTGAACCATGCCTCAATAGAATTCTTGTCTTTATTGATGGATGGTTTAATGAAGAAAAATCATTTGGTAGTATTTCTGGGCGTTCATTTTTAATGTTAAGATATTTTTATACTCTTCCATCAATTTATGGCAATATGACTTTAATTAATTGAACTTTCTGCAATATTGAAACTAGTCATTACAGGAATTTTAGAACAGCAGGATCGTAAAGGCAGAAGTAAAATACAAAATGCGATGGTCATATCTTGAGAGGATGCAAAAAGATTACATAACGTAACAGAGCATCAATGAAAAGCAATACCAAAGAGCTTAGAATTAGCCCTAAAAAATTAAATGATTCTGTTTTATAGCTCCATTTTCTTGGAGGTAAAAAAGAAAAGGAGAACAAAATTTTTTATAACTGAAGCTTTTACTTGGATCCCTCTTATGAAAAATGTTTGTGCAATGTAGCTCCAACATTCTTCCAGCTTATGTAGTCTTTATGAAGAATATGCTTCAAGAGTGTTTGTTTATATTTAAAAAGGTTGAGCAATTTGTCATCAGTTAAACTTTGAAATTCTACATTTGATGCTTTTTTGTTATTATTATTTTTTTTATTTGCACATTTACAATTCTAGAATTTGCATATAAAATATTTTATTACATGTATGAAATTTCTTTATTGACCAACTTCTTTGAACTGTACTGGAAGCTTTATTGCTATTAGAAGTTATCGAAAACCATGCCAAGGGAATACCTTTGTCCTAATAGATGGATGTCTTTTATGAAGATTCATTGAATAATCTTTTGGTCGCATGAATGGGCACTCAATTTCATTGGGCTGAATGATAGGATATTCTTATACTATCCCATTCTAATACCTTTGTCCACTTCTATCATCTTAATGCTTAGTGTTCACATGGTTATATTATCAACGTTTTTGTAATTATTTGTGCTTGCATTTAAAGGTCTTTTGGTGCGTTATCGTGATGGCTATATATTGTCAAATCCTTATTTAAATGCTCAAAATTTTTTCATCATCATTGACCTCTTACATGGTTGGGGATGGTGAAGTGAGTTAAAATTCTTGCTAAACTTTATTCTCTTGTTTGCTTCAGTTTAAGTTTAGGTAATTAGCTTGTCTCGCGTCTATGTATTATGTATTATAGTATGTTTTTGTATTTACTGGTTTCTGAAGAATTGTTTGTGGTATTAGAAGTATTTTGCAATGGTGCCATGCAGCTACTTTACATTTGAGCTTGTATGTTAGCAGTGTTTACCTATGATTTATTTTGTCACTCTTGATGATTTTTGTGATGTTTCCCTTATATGATCTATTTTGTGACTTTCGATGATTACTGTGATGTTTCCTGCTTCAAAATTTTGTCGGCATTATTACCATGAATTAGCTCCATAAAAGAAAGAATTTTCAAGATACGCTTGCCTTGGGGCTGAAGTTCTGGCTGATAATAGTTATTGACATGTATGTCATTATTTTGATGCACTTTGTTAGCCACGGATGAAAATAAATGTTTTGATTGGTCCAATTGGTACTTTCAACAACCATTGATGTGGCTGACTGTTACTTTTTTGTACATCGTGCTATTGTCATACCATCAAAACTACCTGCAGGGACTGATGATGACCTTCCACCATCACATCAAAATAGAAGTACAAGAGGTGGACTTGTTTCTCGGAATGGCAGACCTGTTGTTGGAGGTCATGCGTACCAAAGAGTTCAAAATGATATGGAGATCCAAATTCACCAACTTGAACAGGAAGCATATAGTTCAGTTCTTCGGGCATTTAAGGCTCAATCTGATGCAAATATATATATATGGTAGTCTTTTATCTTGTTTTTCATCGTAGATTTATTCTTTACAAAGTCTTGCTTTCTTTTTCCTCCAGGAGAAGGAAGGCCTCATTACTGAACTACGAAAAGAACTTAGAGTATCAGATGATGAGCATAGAGATTTGTTGAGCAGGGTTAATGCTGATGAAATTATTCGGGGAATAAGGTCTGGAAAATGATCAAAGACCACTATTTTTGAGCATTCATGCTCTCTCTTAGTGTTGTTTGTAATTTTTTAACAAATTTATTAGGGAGTGGAGAAAGTCAGGCGGGCTTCAATCAAGCTTCCTTAATAATGTTCAGCCCAATCATGATAATGTTCCTAGTCCTACTGTCTCAGCTTCTCGTAAGAGGCAAAAGTCTTCTCAATTAATGCCTCCCCTACCTCTCAGTATGCCATCTCCTTCATTGCCCTCCCAGGCAATTGGTGTCCCAATGCAGGCATCATCAGCTTTAAAAAGAGGAGCAGGAGCAAGAGGCAAGAAACCTAAATTGGTAATGTAAATCCTTTATAAATGAATGAGTTTTCTTTGGTCTGTGCGGCCACTCCCCAGCTTTTTTTTCATCTGATATTCCTTTTTTTATTTTATTTTTTTGCTCCCTACTTTGTGGGGACAGTCATTGCCTGTTGCATATACATCCACTGGTCCAAGTGGGAGGGGTCAAACTGTAAACAGGAGTTCTGGTGCTATCACAACTGCTCATTCTGTTGAAGCGGCACAATATGATCCATTAATTGGGCGAAAAGTCATGACGAGGTGGCCTGATGATAATAATTTCTATGAGGCTGTTATAAGTGAATATGATGCGTTGAAGGTGTGTTTGTTTGTTGATTATCGATTTTAAATAGTTGTTGTGTACTCAAACTAACAATTGGTAACCTTTTTTTTTTTACAGGGTCTTCATCTTTTGACTTATGATTCAAACACTCCAAATGAGACATGGGAATGGGTGAATCTTGAAGAGGTAATGATAAATTTCATGCCAAATTTTTTTTTAAGTTATTTAATGTATTGCTGTTTATTTGTGCTGTCAATGCTTCACAATTATTTATAAATTACTGCTAGGAAATTGCAATTTTGAGCGATGGATTTTATTTGTCCCCTAGGATTACGCGAGCTTGAGCATTGTAATTGCTGCCAAAATTTGTTTTGTGGATTTTATTTATGATGTGGTGGTATCTAAAACTTCGTTGAGCAATGACAAAAATTCGAGTAGTCTCAGCTAGGAGTAAAGGTTTCGTTGAACTGAATAATAAATTTTTTTTTGGCTTTCCTTAAATTGCAAAATGAAGCTGAGAACCTTCGAAGGAAAAGTCTTCTTGAACTAATATTGGTTCTACATTTATTTACTTGCCCTTCATTCTTTTTATTTTCAGGGACTAGACTAAAGAGCTTCTTACTTGAATATTTGGCCCAGAAAAAAGAGAGGATAGTATGTAGAAGGGCAACTCTCTCCTTTTTTTTAGTGGTAGTTATACTAAATAATAAATTAAGGCTATTCGGCCTACAACATCCAACTTCTTGGATAAACTTCTAGTTGCTTTCTTATAGTGTTCTTTAGACCACTTTTTAATTGAATTTATTTTGTGAAAAAGCTTTAGCTCTATATTTTTTTTTAAGATAGTAAAAAAATTACAACACTGTCATTGTCGGTTCTCAAGTCCCAGATGCAAAAAGTTTAGGGTTGCGTTAGGTACTCGACAACTAATCTAATATTTTTGTCGAAAGCAAACAATTTGTTATGTTAAAAATTCTTCTTTTAGTGATCTTTATAATATATTTGATACTAAAGAGGGTGAAGATATATGTATAATCAAACTAAACAAAGAGAAAAAAAAAAGTAAGACCTAATTCAAGTAAAGTGTATTAAAAAATTAAAATTAAAAAATAATTTTCTTAGAGGAAGATATTTAACATAGATGAGTGAGATATTTTTATAAACTTATCAATGAAGTTTTTGAAAATATGATCAATTGCAAGTCCCATATGAGAAAAGTGGAGGGTTGCATTAGTTAGTCGACAACCAATGTAAATTTTTTGTCGAAAGCGAACAATATGTTATGTTAAAATTCGTCTTTTAGTGATCTTTATAATATATTTGATACTAAAGAGGGTGAAGATATAAGTATAAACCAACCAAACAAAGAGAAAAGAAAAGTAAAGACTTAATTCAAATAAAGTGTATTGAAAATGAAAATAAAAAAATAATTTTCTTAGAGAAAGATATTCAACGTAAAAGAGTGAGATATTTTTATAAAATTATCAATGAAGTTTTTGAAAATACGATCGATCTTAGCGATCTTAATATTGTTAATAATAATAATTTTTTTTTATTTTTACTATCACGAGTAAAAAAGTTGGGGATGCTTTAAAAAAAATTAAGGGTGGAAACTCAGTAGGACCTGATGATATCCCGATAGATGTGTGGAAATAATTAGAGGATTTGAGATTTTATTGGCCGACTATTTTTTAATATTATTTTAAAAGCTAAAAGGATGTGGGAGGAGTTGAGGAAGGGTATATTGGTCTCCATTTTTAAGAATAAAAGGGCGCACAAGAGTGTGCAAATTATAAATGAATTAAGTTAATGTGTCATACATGAAAATTAGGGGAGACAATAATTGAAAATGGGTTAAGACGTGATACAAAATTTTTCACAATCAGTTTGGATTTATGTTTGCTTATTTTGGAAGCTATATATTTATTGAGTTGTTTGATGGATTGATAGAAAAATGCAAAGGAGGATTTATATATGATATTTATTGATTTAGAAAATTTTTAAGATAAGGGGCCAAGAGAAGTTCTTTGGAGAGTTCTAGAGAAGAAAGGTGTTGATATGACTTACATTCTAATCATTAAAGATATGTATACTAGAGGTGGTAATTGTTCGAATAGGAGTATTGACATAGTATTTTTCTATTTCAGTTGGATTGCATCAGGGATGAACTTTAAGCCCTTATCCTTTTGCTTTAGTTTTGGATGCTCTTACTGAACGTTTACAGGAGGATGTATCTTGGTCTTGGTCTATGCTTTTCGCTGATGATATCTTTCTTGTGGATAAGACTAGAGAAATAGTTCAGGAAAATCTTGAATTATGGAGGGCTACTTTAGACTTTAAAAGGTCTTCGTTTGAGCAGATCCAAAACTAAGATGCGGAATGTAATTTTAGCAGTAGTAGATCTAGTGATAGAGTTGTGATAATGGGGAATCAAATTATTAGGAGTGAACATTTTAAATAACTCAGGTCTATTTTTCAAAGTGATGGTGATATTGATGGGGATGTTATTAGTAGAATTCAAGTTGGATGGTTGAAGGGAGGAATGCATCGGGCCTAAATGCATAGTGAACGAATGTGTCAAGCATATATAGAAAAGTACTACTTAGACTTAAAGGAAAATTTATAAGATGGTGGTGAGCTTTATGGCGCATAATATTGGCATCTAAAAGAGAAGCATCAAACTAATTGTTGTTGAGATGAGAATGCTTAGATGGATGAGTGGCTTGACAGGTTGAGGTAAAATGCGAAAAGAATGTATCCATGAAATAGTTGGTGTAGCTCCAGTGAGAGACAAAATTAGGGAGTCTTGCAAGGTTTGGTCACATTTAACATCGACCATTTGATGATCCGGTTAGGAAAGTAGATGTTTTAGATTTGACTCATGTTAAGAAAGGTAGAGGTAGGCCTTAAAAAGACTTGGACATCATGTATAAAAACGATCTTAATTTATTGGAAATAAATGAAAATATGACGTTCAATAGGACACAATGGAGAATAAAAATTCATATAGCCCGACCCCACCTAGTGGGATAAAGGCTTGTTCTTGTTGCTGGTGTAGTAAAAAAAAAAGTTACCTTGTAGAAGACAAAGAATGTGATTCAATGTGTCCATGGAATGTAGGCATTATACAAGTGCGTTTTTGATTGAATAACTTATAAATTGTTTTGATTGGAATTGATGGTAGATAGATTATGATGGCTTTAGTTTTTTAAAGTTAATTTAATGGAGAATGTTCCTAAAACTAAATATTCATAAGAAGTGTAATCAAACTTCAAATAACCTAATCCTCTAATTATCCTCCACTATGTTTAATTACTCACAAATATTATTAATAAAAGTATTAATAAAATGTTAAATGGGATTTGTTGGATTGCAATATTTCATTTTAAAATTAAAGTAGTATTAACTTGATGAGGCCAACTATACTAGGATAAAGGTTAGAGGAAACATGGTAATGACCTAACATGCCTGCTTGGTGTAGTTTATTATTTTTCTTATGTCAGGTCACATTTTATTATGAGATAGAAATTTGTAAAATTTTTTTAATGCCCATTTAAGGCATGAGTACTTTCCAAGTATCCTATGATTTGTGCCTTACATTCCCATTTTTCATGATCCTCGATTTCATTAGATCCACAATAGTTTTCTTTGTTCAGATGACAACTGTGTCTATTCTTTCGACGTAACTATTCGAGCTTATAGTTAGTATCTTATGTTTTATCCTATTTTTAGTTGTTCTCATCTTTGTAGCTAAAAAAGCCAAGTGAATCTTGATGCTGGCATATTTTTTAATTTTTAAATGTTTTTGTTAGTTCATGAATATTTATAGGTTGTACTATAGCAATGACAAGCAGTTTTGATCTTCTAGCTCTGTTCCCTCTGTAGAGCCAGAAGGAGTGGTAATAAATCCATATTCTCGCTTTTTTTTTGTTTGCTTTAATATGCATGCTCTTCTTTTCTTTAGCTATAAGGACGACGAAAACATATTTGTATGCCAGTTGTGGAAATCCTTTTTCTTATTTTTTGTTGTCTTGTTCATTGCTAAAATGGTAATAATCTTTTGTTTTGAAATTGAACCTTCTTCATGAATAATTTGATAATATGACTTGACACACTTATCATATTTCATGATTAGATTAGAGTATTTTTATTTAGTTTATTCAAGTGAATTTGAGTTTTCATATTATTAATATGGCATAAGAGACTATGATTAATTTCAGCACATGATCCATAATTTAAACTAGTGAAATTAATAAATGAAAATATGACTCTCAATATGACACAATGGAGAAAAAGGATTCATGTAGCCGACCCCACTTTGTGGGATAAAGATTTGTTATTGTTGTTGTAGCCCCAATGTTATAAGCGAGGTGAAAACAACAAAAATGAAGTTAGTTTAGCAGCCATATTATTAAGAAAGTGTTTTGAATTGAAGTGGCTAAAAGTTATGCATATAAATTTATTTTACAGTATAAATAATTTTTAATAAAAATTAAATTTAATATGATATCTCATGTGTAGGCCATTATACGTGCCACAAAATTCTTAAATATTTACATGTATAACACCTAAATTTTTATATTTTATTATGCAATACTTTAATCTCTTAATAAGTTTTAAAATTTGGCATTACATTAATCTCTTAGTAAGTTTTAAATTACCACTAATATCAACTTTTGTAAAGTGAAAATGTAAAATAGACATTTTCATGCTTTTTTTATGTGATTCCACTTTTATGCTTTTTTTTTATGCGATTCCAACACAGTTTTATATTCGTAAATATACAAATTCAAATATTAAGCTTACAAACACATAAAAACTCTATTGTGTGTGTAAATCCCTCAATTAAAAAAAAAGTCAATATTAAGTTATTATAAAAAATGAAATTTATTTTAAATATAATATAAATTCAAATTCAAGTGTAAATGTAATGGCATACATGATGTGATATAATAGTATTACATAAAATAATTGCAGTTTTTAAAGTTAAAATTGTATCATGTGTTATGCGATAGCTAGCTATGAAATATATTTGAATTCAATATAAAAAATAATTCCATCAAGAATGTGGCATGATAGGACGCGCCAAGTGTCACACTTTATTGTTATGCAAAAAAGAAAAAAAAAGAAAAAAAAGAAAAAAAAAGAAAAAAAAAGAAAAAAAGAGAGCTACCGAACATACCACA